CAGCGCCGTCATCGTGTTTCGCATTATCTTGTCTCTACTCTCAAAACGGGATCCTTTCAATGGCCTCTTCAATTTTGGAAACAACCAGAAATTGCAAGGAGCCAGGTCTGGAGAGTAGGGAGGTTGGCGAACGGTTGTAATTTCATGTTTGGCTAAGAAAGTGTTGATTAATTGGGCGTTGTCATGATGCAATTGCCAGTTCTTCGCCGTCCACATGTCTGGTCTTTTGCGCCGAACCGCGTCACGGAGTCGCCGGAGAACATCTTAATAGTACTCCTTTGTCACTGTTTGTCCTTTCGGTGCGTATTCATGATGCACAATGTCACGGACATCAAACAAAACAGTCAGCCTCACTTTGATTTTGCTTCGCACCTGACGCGCTTTCTTCGGCCTTGAAGAGTTATCACGGTGTTCAGAAATCCAGCATTAGTGTTGGCGGTGTCCAGAAGGTCCTGTGCAATGTCAAAACGAAGATCTTTTTATTTCGGCGACAACAACTTGGGTACGAATTTCGCAGCCACCCGGTAAATGTTCAAATCTTTACGCGAAATTGCAAGTGCAGAATCTTAACTCACTCCAACCTCTTCTGCAATCTCCCGCACTGTCAAACGACGATCTGCCATTATCAAATTTCGCACCCTCTCAATATTAGCTACACTCCAAGCAGTTTGGGGCCTGCCACAACGCTGCTCACTCTGCGCTGATGTGCGGCCATCTTTGAAGCGGTTTATCCACTCCTTAATTTATGTTAAACCCCTTGCATCTTCTCCAAACACGTGCTGAATCTTACGAATTGTTTGGCTTTGAGAAACACCAAGCTTTTGACAGAATTTAATGCAGTATCTTTGCTTAATTCGTTCAGACATCTTGCGAGAAAACCAAATCCAACGAACACTTAGAACAGCACCTTACTTGGCGACCACCAGCCAGCGACTTGCACAAGCGAACGCAGTAAAAAAATTCAAGCATTCGCATTAAGGTTCCTCCTTCCACCGTGCACAGTGGCGCCGCCTTAGAATCACTACTTTGCGCGGGAAAAATTAAGGTCGGATACTTTTTAGACAGGCCTCGTATTATTTGTTATAATGATTACCTAGATTTATTTTGTTAAATATGTGGCTGGTTCTATGTTGGATTATATTTTTTATTCTTAGATAATACTTATTTTTAACAATAAAAATAAATTTTAAATAACGGTATAAAAATTATGACAAAAAAAAATTTAGTGTCTAGCTCTAAAAATGCGTTAAATAATTATCTAGTATTTAGTTATATTTAATACTATAATACATCAGCCAATAATAATTCTTTCAAAACCAACACAACCAAACTATATATATATATAGTACAGGATCCGTAAATAAGGTCGACCTTCAGCCATCTGTTTATTTATTTATTTATTTAATACACTGCTCTACAGGCTAAATGCCTAGTTATAGAGCAGGAAAAAAAATTGTTATTGCAAAAGTAAATATAATATATTGCACAATAAGACATAATTTGGATATAACGTAAATTACACAACATAACAAAAATTACACAATATAACAAAAATTACACAATATGACCAAAATTAAATAAATTAGTGACTATACACAGGCAAATAGTAACGAAACAGCTTTACAATTTTTTGAGCTGCGAAAGCTTACAAGAAAATAAAACAATTGTACCTTGCAGGTTGTTGCAATTTTCACACATAAAATACAGCGGTGAGTTTTTTTAATAAATTTGTCCCAGATAGCGAGAAATAAAACACTAAGTTGTTTTGAGATTCAATTGTTGGCACTTTAAATACAAGTTGTTCTAATAAGTCGGAACAATCAATTTGGTAGTTAATAAGTTTATACAGAAATGTTAATGACTGATTTTTTTCATCTACATTTTAAGCTTTGCATTTGGAATCTATTTAAAAGCAATGTGTGATTTATCCTGATTGGAGGATAAGTTCCGTCTATCTTAAATGCCAAGAATTTTAGATATTGTTATGTGAGTCATTTCATTATTCAGTCATGCTCTAATACTCCAAGTCCTTCTTTGTCTTATTTGGCCTTTGAGGCTCAACTTGTCCGATTATCATACATAATTAAACCCCTTAAGACTAAACATATATGACGACTATGTCGGAGGAGCTTTCGATGACTATTCGAAAAAGAACGGGATAATGTTTATAATGTATTGGTGAGAATAGGTGAACTTTTTAGCACATTCGTCAATTTTTAAAATTTGTATATAAATATTGGTGAAGGACCAAGCGAGAGTTAGTTATTATATGGACAGTGAAGATAAATAGTAAACAGTTTAAAGACATTCGAAATATAATATATAAATTAGAATAATAGTATTATAAAATAAATAGGTGTTTAAATAAATTAATTATAAATAAATAAACGCATTGTACAATATATTCATGGTTTCGATAAAATTGAGGTCAACTGCATGCCTAATAATAAATTACAAATTTCGAATGATTCTTTTACCACGTCATTCAGATGTTCATTAAAAGTAAGTTTTTTATCGAACTTTACCTCAAGATCTATAACAAAATCAGGCCTATTTATTATAACACCATCCAAACAGTAGTAGTTATAGAGAATTAGAACATCTTTTTTCGTATATGATACTATATTACATTTTTTTTAATTTAGTGGAAGATTATTTATTAAACACCAATTATTTATTTTATTAATATTACTTTGTAATTTACTACAATCATTTAAGATATATACCTACCTGATTAAAAATTTTGACATCGTCTGCATAAATTTAATATTATAAATGAAAGCGGTCCTAGAATCCAGCCTTAAAGTACGCCAGAGGTTACTAAGACATCGACATACTCAAATCCACGCACTTCAACAAATTGGGTTCTTTTTGTCAAGTAAGATTGAAAAAAATGTATGACAGGCTTGGACAATCCAAATTTGCTAAGCTTTTGAAGTAATATTTTATGATCGAGTTTGTCGAAAGCCTTAAAAAAATCTGTATATATTACATCTAGTTGACCGCCGCCATCAGTTATTGTAAAACTGTATTGTGTTAAAAAATTTGTAATTGTTGACCTGTTCCTACAAAAACCATGTTGTTCTTCCACTATCTGATTGACGTGCTGTGTTATATTATCGTATAGTAAAATTTCAAACACTTTGGCAAAATTACATATAATAGTGATGGGTCGATATAATTTTTTTTTACCTTTTTTAAAAACAGGAGAGATACTTGACCTGTTCTATGCATTAGGAAATGTACAAATGTACAAATTAAATATTTTATTTAAAAGAATAGCTAACGCATGAGAACAATCGCGAACCATGAAGAATGGTCCCTCTGTAAATTTAGATTTTAACTTAAATATTGCCTTTGATACATCAGATTCTTTAAATTCCGCTATACTCGTACGTACATGTAAATTATTTGATCAATCACTCTCAAAATCAATATCAAAATTTGATGAATTACTATAGGAATAGTCATAAATTCAGGTATTCCACCATCTTTTGAAACTGTTTGGAATATTATAAAAGAAGATTTATTGTATTCATATTATGTTCAACGTGTACGAGAGTTGCTACCTACTGACTATCCGCTACTTATGCCAATATATAATCGGAACAATAACAAACAATTCTATTTTTGCTGCCACTGTATTGTTTAAAGATAAAGCCTTTACGAATTATCATAATAACCACATATAAGCTGCTGTAAATTCACATGCTATATCCAGCTGTAGCACGGTTCCAACATACCATTTCGGTCAATGTTTAGATAGTTGTTATCGACGAATATTTATAAGGACCATTTTTTCTTTTACAACAATTTACTGGTGATATAGTTATTTTGGAAGATGGACCTCTCACAATTAGATGGCGTATGATAGTGCTCCTCTACATTTTGCAGCAATCGTAAGGGAGTATTTATATAAAGTTTTTCCACACCGTTGGCTGGGACAAGGATCTATACGCCCATGGCATACAATGTCACCTGACCACAATCCTGTGGATTTTTGTGTGTGACGATATTTAAAATCACTCGTTTCACAAACGCAATCTTAAATTTAGAAGATCTTTCAAATTGTATTAAATAAGGCTGTTATGTTATTCGCAACAATCCTGACCTCTTCGAACCTATTTGGCATTCCTTTAGACGTCAAGTGGATGCTTGTATTTTAGCTGGAGGTGCACATTTTAAGCATCTGCTATAAAATGTAATATTACTTTTATGTTCATATCTACCACAATTTATTGGGTCTTTTAAAATAATAAGAAAGTGAACTCATAAATGACAAAAATTGAAAAATTAAAATTGAAAGACAAATCGACCACAACAATATTTAAAAATATTTTAGAAACACCCTGTATAAAGTAGAACAGCATGTTATTCCACTGATGTTAGATTCAAAAGCGTTTCCTACATCGGTTGTCAAGTAGATAAGCAAATATCTGTCTGGATAACCCTACACGGGAATAATAATATGGACAAGCCGATGAAATACTTAAGGTACGTTTAAACGTGTAAACACACAAACATTTCTCTCGGAGATATGTTTAAGTGTTTTGACTAAACTAAACAACTGTCAGACATAAATCTCATGCAATAAATCTCAGATGTAAACGTACCTATAAAGGTTACAACAAAATAATCATTTAAAGGCCAAAATTATAAAAATAATAATACATTATATACGCGCATGAGAGCACAAATTTAAAAAAGAGACAGAATGATAGCTTTAAAAAGGAACGGAAAACAATGTAATGTTAGTTTGAATTGGCAAAATAAGAATGAATAAATAAAAAATTGGAATAGGAGTAATAATAATCAACAACAGCGTTGTAAGAATTTTAAAAACAACAATAATTGTATCGGATATAGAAATGGTCCTAGAGATTAAAAGAAATTAAAGTAGCATGTCTAACTAACGAATTTAAGATGATAAAAGAGATAACCAGCTTGTAAATAATGGTAACAAGGATGATTTTAAAAACAATAATATCAGTAATATAAGGATGTATAATATTAGGATTGAAGACATAGAAGATGAGGGGGAAGAATTAAACTCCTACTCAGGATTTTCGGTCAGGCACAAGCTAAATGTAAATCATACAAGTAATTATAAACAGCTTAGAGAATTTATAAAAATTGACAAAGAAAATATGAAAGAAGGAGAAGTTTCAGGTTTAGTCTTTAGAGATAGAAACATTTTAAATGTGACTGGTAAAATATTAGTAGATACGGGAGCGGAAACTACAATTTTAAGTGACTATAAATAGAGCAATAAAATAATTCAAATAGTGTTATTAAAATGTCGAAATTTGTTGGGTGCAAAAGGGAAAACATTACAGGAAATCAACGGATTAGTGAATAGTGTTATATTAGTAAAAAATGCGGAATTGGAAGTAAATTACCTCATTATAGGATAACTAGGCAGCAATTATTGATTATGAATAAAGTTTAAAATAAAATGAGAGAGTGGATTTTATGTGGAAGAAAGACAAAGAAGTGAATAATATTATGAAGTTAAAAAAAGAGAAATGTATAAAAATGATAAGGAATAATAATTTTTAATCGTTAGAAGGATAGACAGTACAAATAGGAAAAATGATTTTTTGTAAGAGTTAGTGTGTCATGAGAGGTATAAAAGAGTTATAAAGGATTATTATATTAAAAAAAAAATGAGTGCAGTAAAGTTCGAAGTAGAAGGCATAAATAAAATTAAAAATAAAACATCAATTTTCACAAAAATACCAAAAATAGGTAAATAAGGAAATAAAAAATATGCTAAGACAGGATTTAACAGTAAAATGTAACACAAAATACGTTAATGCAATCGTTGTTGTGAAAAAAAAATAACTGAGAACGTCGATTGTGTTTGGATGCATGTATACTGTCACACTATGTAAAGTACCGATAAATATTGTTACAATTTTCGGAAGAATAACTAATGTAGAAATGTTTATTAAGATAGGATACAAACATAGTTTTTGGTTTTTTATCTGTATCTTTATCGGCTATAAGCAGATAAGGTTAGATTTAGCCCACAACACTGCGGTTATATTCCCCTTATTTCCCTGAATTCTGGTACAAACCTAACCTGCGCGGCCTAGAGAATTTTTTTTTAGGGCATAATGAAACTTAACAGAAGAATAAAATGTTTGACCAAACAAATAAATTATGTATGCTAAACACACCTGATTTCAAAATAAGAAAGTGACTAGCTTGTATCTAGACACTATATTTAATAAAATTTAGAAAATTTCAAAATATTTTGTAACAACCACCGCCACTTAAAAAGTAACTGCTGTCACTAAATAACAAAAGTTTGCTGTTGCGATTAAAATTTTTTGCCAGTGCTGTAGATTTGAAGGCGAAAAAAAATTAAGGCGAAAGTTGGGGATTGGGTACTTTTTTTTTGTTTTTTTTTACACCCTTCAGACCTCCCGTGCTACACCCTAATTCGTCTGTAGCCAGGCAGCACTGCAGCCTGCGGCTTATTGTACCCCCATTTGAAGGTCCTACTACTTTCCCATTCACACCCTCATTCATTCATTCATTCCACCTCGTCGATGGTTAAACGCTAGTCGGATGAATCCCATGGTGACACGGCCAATGGTGAAACCTCCCAGCGGTCACACATCCACGACGTGACCGATGAGATCACTGCTTAACTGTTGCGAGTAAGTGGATGCACACTAAGCTCGCGGCTAGCCTCTCCGGCATTGGGTACCTTCTACCCCCCGTATTTTTTTGACAAAAAAAAATTGCTTTATCGATCCTAAAATCAAAAAGAACTATGAATTTTTAAATTTTTTTTATAGCGAAATGAACTTTGTATCTTTCTTAGTTAACGAGCTATTCACAATTTTTTAACTGAATTTCTAGAGCAATTCGTCCGTCCTGGACTTAACATATCAACAAAACTAAGATTAGGTCAGGAGTTATTGTACAAAAAACGCATTTAAAAATTAGTGATGTGCCTAGGGCTATGCTTGCGCCGCCCCTGCAAAAACTACCTCATGAGATTTTTATGTAAAATCTTTAGATTAATCAAAATAATGGCCAAATTATTACAATTTCATACACCTTCCCAGCACAAAGTAAGTATATTTTAAGTGAATCTAAATAGAAAATGTTTTTTTTTAATTGTGATAATTAATTGCAAATTCTGATATAACTTTAATTTTTAGGTGTGGAGCATGGACTTCAAACTGATCTAATAAAAGTGTCGTCAGCCCTATCCATATTTTCAGTTTGTTGGGATTTAGCAAGCATATACAAAGTATTGATAGACTTGTACTTACATGGTTAGGAGTTGTGTCCCAGTTACTTTGGAGAGGAGGTTCTATAACTGCCAGGGCCCTTGCTCTCTCAGCCTATGCAGCAACATACAATTCGTGGATTTTTTTTTGTGCTAGCACTTCATTGGGCTTGTATGTTTCTTTGGTTACTCTCGCCCATAAGCCCTTTTCAGGGGCAAAGAGGTAAGAGGTAGCGAATTAAGAGTTTGTGCCCTTATGGCTGCTATTTATGTTTTGGCCTACATAAATTTACAAGATAAATCACATAGAAGGACTATGGGTATATTTTATGTTATTGGAAAATTGTTTATTGATTAAGAACATGAATAGCAGCAATATAGACTGTTATATCAACATTGGGAATTTGTTCCAATTATTATGGTAAGTTTAGTTTTCAATATAATGTATTTGTTTTACTTTCTAATATTCCAATTTTTTATTAGATAAGTTTGTTGGCTGCTGACATTACATTTATGCTTATTTATTTCAAATTCTTTCACGTATAACGCTTAATGGAAAAGCTATCTCAACCACCATGTGTACTTAATTTTCGGTTAAGTAGCCCATCAGTATCTGCTCTTTATCACAAAAAGAAGAAACCAACAACTTTTGTACCTCCCCCTGGCCTTGGACTAGTTTCTGTCCCGTTCTGGAGAAAACCCTTACCATTATCTAGTGAAAATGAAGGTATAATAAATGAAATAATAAATAAAAAATACAAAATACAGCTATAAAATTAAAAGATAGATCATATTAAGCATTATTTTTTTTTTAGGGAGCCGTGTTGGTTCAAGTGTAAACATTCATCAAAAACTGCAAGAAATGGTCCTGAGTCTTGGGTTAGTTAAGATAGTTTTTGGTTGATTCCATTAAAAGAATTAGATAAAGCAAGTTTGACAATTAATCTAAACAAAATAATAATTCTACGAGGAAGAAATAACCTATTTTGGTTTTATGTTAAACACGACAGGTTCGAAATGGGTACAAAGAGGATTGTATTAAAAGTAAATTATTAAAACTTTCCATGAATAAGAAGGTCTATGACATGAATAGTTTCTATCTAAAATCAAATCAAAGAATATACTTAAATTCCTCCAGTTTCGTTTTTTCGAACTAGATTAATCGGCGCCGCAGAGTGTGCGAAAATGGCTCTAATTTTCCTTTATTGAAAACTATTAAAGCCGTGAAATTTAATTATGGTGATTTATAAGACCATCTAGTTGACTGAACACTCGCCGAAGCACTTGTCGATTTAATATGTTCTCGAATGGGAATGCTGAAATAAATTTTTCGGAGACGCCAAACTAGCCTTGCTAAATCCTGAAGACGGGTAGTTTATAAATAAAAAGTTTCCGTATATATTAACAATTACGATGGTTACGATGGTACGAGCATATGGGTGATTCTCTGATAACTGTGTTTTTTTATGTCCAGTATTTTATTTACCGTTTAGCATAAGTTTTCCTTATCAAAAAGTGATTAATATTATAAATTTAGAGGTATTTTACAACCGACATTATGAATTAGGTCATAAACATGCGCAATTTTTTTTAAGCTGCATATAAATATACTCGAAATATCGGTACCGTGGCATGTCGGATTCTCATTTTTGAAATTAAATATATAAATTTCAATCAAATTTCATTTTTTAATATAAAATGTACCTCTTATAACTACAATCTAATACATATAGCATTTAATTTTATTCATCAAGAGTAATATACCAAGACCTTGATAATATTCAGCTATTTTTGTTGAATCTAAATTTCGAGAATATTTCAATATCAATTTGATGAGAAATATTTTAGGCATTAATAATCTGATTAGAGCCTGAGAGCTTCAGCTCGATTATTAATGCCATAATTATGTAGAATAAAATTGTAAAAATAGCAGAATATTAATCAAGGTTGTGTTTTATTTGGAACAGTGGCGGCTCGTGGGCACTAGCGGCAGTGGGACACATACTAGAAAGGAATCCCGAGATTTGTTTTTCATTTAGGAAAACAAGTTCCCCGCTTAATGAAAATTAAATATATTTCAAAACAATCAGTTGAGGCAACAACGATTTCTGAATGTTACTACAGGGAGCTAAATGTGACCACTCAAAATGCATTTAACTATGTATGTGGCTATTTAATCAAAAAATCATTACATATCCACTCTTGCGAAATTTGCGTACATTTCTCAGAAGAATGCAATTTACTTAACAATTTTAACTTGTTAACGCATTTTAAAACATACGACTCTGAAGAAAAGGTGTTTGGCAATTTAAAATCTCCAGCGAAAAATTTATCTTTTAAATTGTCAAATTAGAAAAAATATTTATATCTCTATTTGATAGTTTGTCAACTAATCCTGGAATTGCCAACAATTTGCGAAAATGTACACCATTAAATTATTTATAAGACTCTTAAATATGCAAATCCTCAAGAAGTCAGACAAAACCAAAAGAAAAATTAAAATTCTGTCCTATTTATAAATATTATTGATTTTTTTTTATCCTATTTTCGACTGCTTTATAAAAAAGTTATTTTTCTTTGTAGTTTTATTTCTTAACTATTACAATGGTCCAACTAACGTTTTTGCGTAATCACAATAGATAAATCATTATCATGGTCCAACAAACGCATCGCCTTTGTGAGGGAGCCGGTAAAGATGCCGCTGCGTACATTCGGATCTGGTCTAGGTAATCTGTGCCATGGGTACAGCACGTCACGATAAGGACAGCGCTACGCTTGTGACGTATAATCCATCGCATGTGTTCATCTCTTGCTAAGCGATATTGTCGTTGTCCTTATTTTTCGCATCATAATAAGAGAGAAAACAATAGAGGCACACATTAACTGTACCCTGTTCCACTTAATTTCGGAATTCTCGGAACGTCGCTCAACGCCCGGTCGTCCAGTGTCATGCCAACGCGGTTTGCGCTGAATATTAGATAAAATAATAATAATAGGCATTGAGGAAAATATAAGATATGTAAGTTATTTTTTTTTGGTTTATTATACTAGGGCACGTGCCCAAGTGCCCTTACGGGCAAACCGTCACTGATTTGGAACAACTATTTCACTAGACCAAATATCGACTATTTCTCTAGAGAAATAAATGCTGATATTTGGTCTAGGGAGATAGTCATATATATGTCAGTACCGTGGAAATAATGTCAGTATCGTGGCATTAAAATTTTGAAATTTTATCACAGTTTTCGTTGTGTTGTAGCTGTAGTAGAACCACTTTACAGGCTTATTTATGTGCATAAATAGAAAACAAAAACACGTAAAACATACGCTTTAAAACATTTTTAATTTGAGAAAAATTAAAAATGTAAAAATCGCAGTTACACGAGAATCGCCCATATATTCCGTAATTATGGAATGAATTTTAAAAGTTATTTAAACAAACACCACTGTGATATAGGAGAATCAAAAAAAGAAGTACCGCTAAAAACAAAAATAGATAAAAAAAATTATTTAATATTGCTGTGCTGTTACTATTGCAAGTTATATCTCTAGAAATTTCCTATTTGATTTGAATTCGGTCACAAGGGACCGCGTAGCATTTGATACAAGTTTTCTTGATTTTGTAGCTGTTAACTTTAGCGATTTGATCATGTGTGTTAATTTTTTGTAACAGTAAATATCATTGTAGGTTCTTTTTTTAGAATAGAAAAAATATAAATAAAGCATCTCGAAACTTTTTTGATTTCGGGCAGTTCTCCTCTACTAGAAAAGTTAAAATTTCTCCTTTTAACTCATAAACACGTTGTAAAAATTTTCTACGCGATAGCCATTTCTTTGAATTATGCAATGGGTCAAGATACATTTGTGGAGCGTGGAGTGCTTGTACACTTTGGAATCATCCAAACATTATACGAGCACCATCGGTGCATATTTCAATGCATTTCTTTCACTCTATGTTTGCCTCATTAATAAAATCATTTAGAATATTAAACAAAGCGAGTCCTGTTGCTTTGAGTTCTATAGTTTTGCAGAAAAGTAGTTATTATACTGCCGATATACCATCACAAAATCGGACATAGGCAATTAAAAAAGCGTGTCTATTGATATCTGTCGCAATTTTTCAAAAAGCTGAAAGAGGTATGGATTGCAATTGTTTGGCAAAATTATCTCCAAACATAGTTTCTACAATCTCCATCGCAGCTGGCAGAATAATGATGTGAGAGTTTTTGCATCGGGCTATTTTATATAATACATTGTAAGAGGCAAGTAAAGCCTTTTCATTTATAGACAAACCATTTTTTTTTTGAAGAATGATGATGTTGCTATTCATATTATTTTCATTTAATTTCAAAGTATTTTTGGGACTTGTTAACGTACTCACTATGAAGTGTTATCAACTGGCGTCTTAGTTTAATAGGTTTCTTGCTGTCTGCTGTCAAAATTTTTAAACAAATGACGCACATAGGTCTTTCTACTTTATTTATTTTAGTAGTGGTGAATCCAAAATTTAGGTATTCTTGCGAATACTTTCTTGATTTTATCTTCGAAACTATGCCCGACTGTACACTTGTTGATGCTTTAATTTTGTATAATACTCGCTTAAGTCCAGTTAAAAATCTATACATTGTTTTGTATAAATTAACTGCCGTAATATATACGTAAATATCTTATACGGAAATACGGTACAGTTACACAAAACTTACAAAATTTAGCACCGAGACTCAACTAAAACGGACCGAAACTTCTAACAGCAGCATTTATACACGCTTGCTCCGCTGTCGAGTAAATCTTCCATACTATTCCAAACAAATCAATACCTTGGTTGAAAGTTCTCGTAGCGATGGTAAGCCGCGAAAATGTTCGATATCCGCGGTAAGTAACAAAAAGGCAAATTAGAAACATCGATTCTGGCTTTACGCTTTACTTATATGGGATTTTGCGGAGCGACATTGCGAAGTTTCAATAAATTTACCTATTTTCGGTAATTTTTAGGGTCGGTAATGAAGTTCTATATTGGGGCTCTAGACCTAGCGTCCAGTACACTAAAAACA